TGTTTCATAGTTTATACAGAACACAGAGTAAAAATTTTCTGAAAGCAAAGCTTTTCAAGTATGATGGCTCTAATTTCAACAAACTATGGCAAATTTATTTGATGGACTCCTCCATCCTGGCAGTGATGACAATTAAGTGTGCAGACACAAAGAACCTCATCATTAGCGATGGACAACATTTCATTATATTAGGATGAAAGAAAGCCAAAACACATCAAAGTTCTCAGTTTCTATTACTGCTTTTTTCTTTTCTTTTCTTTTCTTTTTAAAGAAAGTTGAGTCATGAGCTGTCACTTAAATATATCACACTGCCTTCTGGCTCATCCAGAATAGTGAAATATGTTTAGAAATTATATAGGAAATAAGTGCCTTTGATTTTTTTCACATTGTTCAAATGTTCTTGTTAGTATTTACTGAGTATTTTAGTGGGTATGTTGGAATGAGGAAGAAACAAATTGTATGCAAAAGAAGCATTGGGTGTTTATGTATATCTAAATTGGTATATGGTACTCTTGTATGACATTAATTTGCCTGTTCTATGTGTGTATGTATGTGTGTGTATAGATATATATATTTTTCCAAAACCAGATTATTTACTTCTTGAATTTAGTTCCTTTGAGTAAACATGTACTAAATATCTGTTAAGTCCAAAATATGGTGCTAGCTGCTATGGCTGGATGGAGGGTCTGACTGATGGAGGAACAGAAAACTTGCCCTCTGCATGCAGTTTTCTATCGTAGCTTTCTATATGTTGTATCTGGCATTGTCTAGCTACAGAATAATAAATTCTAGGGACTAAAAAAAAAAGGTATCCACATAATATTAGGGAAGTTTTTAAAAACATATCTTATAAGTGACTATTCGTAGTTACTACCGTTTATATGGCTTTTTAAAGTGATATTTTAAAAGTCTTGTTTATAACATCCAAAAGTGGCAGTTGTGAGGTTACTCACTACCTCAAGAAAAATCACTAAATCCCTCTTGAATTTCTCTCCTGCCTCTTTGGCAAATGACTTCCACAAACACCTCAGACTAGTTTTACTGAGATTGGTTTAGGCCGATGGACCTTCCCCAAACAGTACCTTTTTTTTTGAAATAAAGTATTAAGAGAGGCCTCCTTAATATGAGAGAATATAAGGACTTGAATATACATCCACCCCATCTTTCTGAGGTATAATTTTGATAAAGTCTTTGCTATACATTCAAGCACGTATGTTATATATTATTCAGTTCCATGTTTGTAGCCTGGTTAAGGAGAGGCAGGATAGATTCATTCAAAGGAAATATCTAAAAATACTGAGAGAGGTCAAGAGAGAAAAGGAAGGAGCCAATGGAAAGGATAAAATGGAGAAAACAGCAGCAAGAAACCCCAGCTACCCCCCACTTCCTACTGAAAGACATCAAATCACCCCCAATCCCTTCACCCATTGCCTTTCAGTGTCTTCTCTGATTAAGTATCCTGGTTCCCCGCTCCTATGTCCCAGGCTATCTAACAAACCAGCTTTCCCATTTCCACCCTCTGCATCTGGCCTGCCGGCCCCAACCTCCCCATTCCCACCCGGAAATTGGCTAAAATCTACTCATTCCCATACATATCCCACTAGTCCCTCAGCTGATGTGTTACAGGCCAGGTGGAAGGACATTTAGTGGCCGTTCAACAACACAGAACTGACAGGGATCTCTTTCCCCACTTTCCTCCCCCAGGAAGTACTTCATAGAGATGTACTATCGGAATGAGACTCAGCACGAGCCACATCCTCTCACGCTGCCAGGCTGCACCCCCAGCTGTCCTCTGATGAAGTTTACTGAGCTGGTTGCCTCTGTGATCCCCCGAGACTGGCACTCCGAGTGTATGATCACAAGCAGCCACCAAGGTACTAAGGACGTTTTGGATTAGGGTGTATGCAGAGCCCTGCAGAAAGGGCAGAGCACCCTTTCTCGGGGGTGGGGGGGGGTGAAGGGGTGCTGTGAGAATAACTTGGCTGTTACCCCCAGCTTTGAAAGAAATGGGTTTTGGGTGATAATTGCATGTTCTGGGGACCCCAATTTCAGGCAACTCCTACCTCTCCAGTTGTCCCTGCCCCCACTTGCCATAAACATGGACTTGGTTTTTTCAGTGTTGATATAAAAGGGCATCAGTGCCAAAATATAATCAGAGATAAAACTTTGGTCAAAGCTCATGGGGCTGCCATGAGCTATGTGACTGACCACATAGCACCTTTTGTTGCTTAAAGACGCCCAGATTTCATTTGCACAGAATTGAATGAGGCTGTTCTTCAAGTGTCTGAAGTGAAACAAATTTCAAACAAAATGCAAAAAACTAGGTGAGAGCAAAGAAGCAAAGATTTTAATCCTAGGCTAACGGGCAAAGGACCAACTTACCCATTAGAGCCAGCCTTCTCACAAGGAAAAGCAAGGAGATGAGATACGGTGGAGCAGTCTGGAGAAACCATCCACATGGGACACTGGTCCTATCTTTTCATATTCCTGTTAAAATGTATTGGGTGGCAGAGCTGAAAAATAAATACTTGTTTGTATCTAGAAAATTCATGTTACTTTTAAAGGAACCAAAGGCAAACTTGCCAGGAAACTTAGCTGTGTATAATTCATATGGCAGCTCTTGGAGTACATACATCATAATAAATAAGTAATCTGACGAGAGCAAGATATTCAGGCAGCACACATCAGAGATGGGGGCCCCACCTGAGCGGAGTTTCTCTTGAAGCTCCAACGGTAAGAGATGTTAAAAAATGAAGTTGATTTAAGAGAGGCAGTATGATGACGCATATGAGACTGGAACAAATTTACAAATGTAAGAATGGCCCGAATGCCTCCAAGATCAAAACTTATTGGAATGTTGAGAGTGTGGCTCTCCTGAGGACAACAGCAATGCATAAGGCTTTGATCCTGGTATCTTCAGACAAACTTAAGCACTTACAGGTCCTGCTGAAACTACTCACTATATAAGAAGAAATCATGTTCCAATGACGACTCCTTAGAGTCCTGTAAATTTACCATGTGGCAGATGCAACACGTCTAGAGAACAACATGCTACGTTCCCATTACGGCTAATGATGAGGTGGTTTCTAGCGATGGTTTCTACTGGATGCCAGAGTCTAGAGCAAGACCATTCCCGTTCTTAGTTGGTCATGGGATGACTGACACAAGACATCGATTGATATGTTTATTTGTATTATTTCTTCCCAAGTAAATATTTGGCCTTGGGGCCATCATCTAATTATTCTTTATCCTCCATGCATGTTAAGTTTCCTCCAGAGGTGAGCCAAATGTAAAATAGTGAATAAAGTCATAATTAGGGAGTTCAAAACCATCACTTTTATTATAATGAATTTTTTAAAAGGTGTGTGTGTGTTTAATTATAATAAAATTACTGAAGGACAGATTTTGGGGACTCTATTTTTGTTTTGGGGTTTTATTTTAATGTAGCAGGAGGAAAAACATATAAAGTAAAATGATTCGATTGGCTTTAATTAACATTTTACACTAAAAAATGTATTTAGTTTGGACTTTATTACTTCAGATAAAGGCTAAGGTGATGGACAGCTCTGTTTTATCTATTTAAGGTAAAACGTGCTAAGAAAACACCCTTGGGAAATTTTACAATTTAGTGGGGACGTAAAGAGACACATATTACACAGAATAACAAGGGTTTATGTCTTATGACTACAAGGGTTGCTATGGGAATAAGAGTTAACAGGACTTGGAGGGAGGGAGGTTGTAAGGAATATCAGAGAAGGCTTCCTGCAGGAGGTGACAACTGAACCATCTGCAATCAGTTTGGAAGGTGTTTTCTAATGGTGTGGTACAAGGTACTAGGAAGACATTGATCAAATGTCCTAGTGGCTTGAAGCTGGAAAGGATAGGGGAGTTACTCGGCAGAAGATTCAGGATTCGAAGAGATTCCCACAGGTCCCCTTCAAGAAGCCAATTCTAATGAGATCAAATGTCATCTCCACAAGAGCAAAGATTCTATGTGTTGTGTTCTCTGCTATTATATATCTGTCCTCAGCATCTAGAAGTGCCTGTGCCTGGCACGGATTGGTGCTCAATGAATATTTGCTCAATGAGTATATAAATTAGTTACCTTTCCTCCCTGAACCTACTCTTTTCTAAACTGGTAAGCAGCAATACCCAGTAACCTGGGAGTTATGTTTGACCCCACCTGCTCCTTCATCCTCCACGGCTAATCCATCACCTCTTATCATCTCTACCTGTAATATGTTTGTATACATCTTTTCCTCAAAACACCACTATCAACAATTCCAGACCCAAATAGATTGAAATACAATTAAGTAGCAGAGTATGTTAATAAAAAGAAAATGTAGGGACTGGTGTGCTGGAGCCAGCTGGAGAAGACCTCAAGAGTGGAACGCGTGCTTCCCAACCCTGAGTTCAATGACTTAGTTTCGGCACTTTGAAATTGGTCATGGTGTTATGGCTGGGGTATTCCACCACAGAAATCAGCATGTGCCAAACATTAGAGTTCTATTTCTTGATTTTTGCTTTATTAGATCTAGTTACCAGCACACAATTGGTTTTAGCTCACAGAAAGCTTGTTAAGAGTCTATAACATGAGGTGGCCTTCAACAAAGTGAATTCAATAGTTGTACTTCTTTAAGGAAAAAGAATTAATATGTGTTCTCTATGATCTCAGAGAGTGATGCTAGGGCAGCAGGTGAAGGCAGCTGGTGTTGAGCGTCAGGAAATTTCTGGAACCAGAAGTGTCCACTGGCCTAGGTGATCCCTTGTCTTGGCAGAGACAATATAGAGCAGGGTGAAGCATGGAAGGTTGTAGGGGTTGAATGACTCCTTAGTAGGGCCACCACAATTAGCAAATAGAAGTATAGAATGCCCAGATAAATTTGATTAATAGCTCAAACTGCTGAATTTTTATAATTTATTGGGGAAAAAAATGGCTGAATTAAGGACATTGAGGGTGTCTTGAGAAAGCCAATACAGGAAGCAGAACAAAACCATGAAATAAGGACATGGCCTGTATATACAGAATGTCTGTCAACTCTACTCTTTAGGGCATTTCCACCCATGAAATCCTAACCGTATCTATAAGCAGTGTTTTCAGCTAGTGCTACTAGACCCAATTAATGTCATTCTCATATCAATTAAATTATCCAGAGCCATTGCTGGGAAATTCTTGATAAGCCTAAGTTCCATACATTACTTGGCAGGAAGGTGGGAGACAGGTAAGGAAGAGAGGGCTACAGAGAATGAAACAAGCCCTACCTGTTAAGTATGGTGAGTACTATTATAATGAAGGACATAGAAGTAACTACAAGAACAAATAGCAGAGGAAATTAGCCCAAATCTAAGGGGTCAGTGAAGATTTTTCAAAGGGGATGATGCTCAAACCAAAACCTAAAGGAGGGAAGGAATAAACCAGGTGAATGGAGATGGGGAGAGAGGAGAATGTTTATAGATAAAAAAGAGAAAATGTATAAAAGCCAAGAGGCTAAAGGCAGCATGGGACATTTTAGGTATTGGGAAAAGTATGTCTGGTGAGAGTGTGAAGCGGCTGGAGAGGCAGGCATTGTCTCATAGGTCAGGTTGAGTAGCTCTGGTCATTAAAAGGTTCTAGGCAGAGCACAGATGTGACTGGCTTCTTGTTTTAGAAAGACCTTTCGGCTTCAGAGAGAACAGATTGGAGAGGAATGGGGCTGAGGGCAGGGAGAACAGTTGAGAGGCTGCTGCA